CCGACCACCATCGTGCAAACGACACGTGACGTGGCAGTGCCGACGTCGGTGGCTTACTTTATCCAGGAGAAGATCAGGGGGAAATCGACGGTGGAGATCGTTGATACTGACGGCCATTTCCCTCATCTGACCGCGCCGAATGAGTTGCTCGATGTGCTTGGTGGAGTTCTTGGGTTTGAAGCTAATTGACAAAAGGATTGGATCAGAATGTTCATTATACAATAAAGTTATATATATATGTTATGTTTAATTATACTAGCTAGCTGGGGTTTTTTTTTTTTTTTTTTTGGTTTTTGGTTTTGGGGTGTGTTTGGTTGGTTGTGGGTTCTGTTGTTAATTACTTATTAGGGTTTTTTTTTTATAAATAGAGAGCAAGGTATGGGTGATGTATTAGATAAATAATGATCCATCCTAGGAGATTGTTTGTAGAATTACATGGGTAATTTGGGATCACTTAATTACCATTTGGATTTTAGAGAGGGAGATTGTGTTTGGTTTTGGATTTGATGTTGTGGGTTTGATATGTAGAAATGTTTTCATTCTCTGTCTATATATGAGATAAAGAGTGTGGGGGATTCTATGTATGGATTTTTTGTTGTTGTTTTCTTGTGTTTCTGTTTTCCCTTTATGACTTTGTGGGGTAGTAATGTCTTGGAAGATGTTCGACAATTCTCGACCAATTTCGAGGGTTTCTTCTCTTCATACGCACCTCATTGTTGTAATAAGGTTGTTCATTTTGTGGTATAAAATGTTCTCTCATCGGTAATTCGATTATTGATCGTCTATTGGATTTGATTACTTTATGTATTTTGACTTTATGACTTTCTTCCTTTTCGGATGTCTATGTTAACAAAAATGTCTCGATTCTGCTTGTGAGCAATCATGATGGACACTAACATAGTGAAGATCTATAAGAAAAAAAACAAGTTGATCTTCCTTTGAAAAACTACATACTTCCAGATATAATAGTTTGGATCGAAATCTCATTCATTTTGATGCAACCGGCCTATACTAAACAAGTGTTAACTCACCAATAAGCAACATAAGATGTTACATAGTCCTTTTTTCTTTCGTCATTTCAAGATAATTCATGATCTGGACAGAGTCCTTCAGGAAGGTATCTATTGGTTATTTTCTTATTTAACTTCATTACGAGTCCCTTTACTCTCCGTTGATTTAACGATACTAGTTTTTGTAGCACAAAAAACTCTATCCTACATAATTTGATTATTGATCGATTATCACGTCTGAATATGTTGCTTCTTATGACTTTGATTTCGATTAAAAAAGAGAGAAAAAACAAAAACAAACAAACAAGGAAATAATAGCTTGCTCTGTTTTCTGCCATGCTCTCATGCTTATCCGGACTGGTATACGTTCCCTTCGAAGTAATGAATAATCAGAAGATAAAAAAAAAAACAGCACTACTGTTATAGCTAACTCAATGCGGTTGCGTAAGAACTTTTTGAGAATGAAGACAAATCGCCCCTTCTCGATATCAAAAGGACGACACATGAACCCAACGACCCACCCAACGTGAGCAGATATAAACTATTGTGCTGCCCTAAAAGGTGACGAAGATTCCAGCAAATTACGTAATACCAAAAAGTAGATGAAAGCAACGTTATGGTAAGTAAGTGAAGTACATTATCATATATAGAAGTGGGAACTGGGAAGTGGTTCCCTTAACCACTCCATTACGCACTCGTGAATTTGTATACTAGTATTATTTGTACTTGTGTAACAATGACGCCAATTAATTGGACTCACAATTTATATTACATACAAAGCGAGTGTTACTTTTAATGTTTGTTTTGTTATTAGTGGCGGAATCAGAAATCGGAACCAGAAGTTGACTTGAATTGTCGTAATTGGAGTAGGGGCAGGAATGATGATTAAAGTCTTATTGACTATTCTAATTTTCAAATTTGTAAAAAAACTTGCATGTAATTTACCTAATTCAAAATCGAGAGGAGGCTACAGCCCTTCTTAGTTTCAACCTAACTCCATCACTGTTTGCTATCATAGATTAGGAGGAAAGCTAGCGACTTATTATAGCTTTGAGCCAATCCTTTCTTAAAACCACCGAAATTTTTTCCGTTATTTGTTGGCCTCAATGTTCAAAACCCGGGTGTGGTAAATGTTCACATCCTAACAATTGCACTAGTTTGTGACCCGGCCCGTTGGCCGGAGGAGTTCAGCTGAATATTGAATTATTGGGATATTCAGCTCAGCTCCTCCGACCAATGGCTCGGGTTATAAACATAATAAAATTAAATCAGTTCTCAACATTTTTTACTGTCACACTACGTATGGGGATTACTTATTAGGAAATGAGAATTTGGCTGAATATTTCTATTTTTACGACATAGATATCAAGTAAGGTAAATTTAGTAGTGGAGGCTTTCATCCCTTAATGGCCCACTCCCAAAACTTGACCACCTTTCGGCGTAAATTCTTCAGATAGAATTTGAAAGATTTGACAATGGTAATTATTTTCCGTTTTCCCCTTGTGCTTTATTTTTATCCTTATTGGAAGTTAACATGATTTGTTTTACTATAGCACAATCTTTGGAACCCTGAAGCGGAAGTTAACAAATTACTTAATGACACCGGGGAAGGAAGGAGCCTTTAGGCTGCTATTACATTATTAACACAACTCATTTCGACTTCTTGTTGTCGCAAACACACAAAACCAGGTTGGTCGTGTCGTAAAGTGACACAAATGTGAGCTGCTAGTGTAAAGAACACAAACAAATGGAACCTACAGTGGTAATAAACACACAGGCACTACTGCTGTTGCCATAACACACACCAATTCTTGTTGTTTTCAACTTCAAATTCCATTTTCATTGGACAATGACAACTGAAACTATGCACAATTTAAAAGCCTGAATTTGGTAAAAATCAAACCAGTCATCTTTCAGTATAGTGATGAAAAACACACTACTAAACATAGGTTCATAATAGGAACATTAACTAAACAATGATTCCAACAATACTACCTCTCATCCTTAGTCAAAGTCGAGCACATGCTCCTTTTCTGCCTCTTTAAGGTACTCCAATATCCCCAGAACATGGATTAGTGTTGCTAGTTTCCTCCAAGTTTGCAGCAATCAAATCAGTTCTATCCTTGTAGCTTTTGTCATGACAAGTTCTGGGACATCATCTCCCACGTAAGAGCTGCACTTATAATCTAACTCACACAGCTCACTCAACTTCACTATATATTGGAGTCGAAGAGTCAAAGTTCATCGCCCAATAAAGAACGGATTCATAAAGGAACCGTTAAGTTTACCATAAAGCAGAATCATAATAAGCAAGTTACAGAAAACCAACTATTTACAATCAAAAGCCACAATTGACCTTAACATAAAGTAAGAAAGTGGTAAGCAACACATAAATGAAGATGATTCACAATCCAATTATCCACTATAATCATTTATTTTCTCTTAGCCCTCTCAAGTCATGATTTTGAGAACCACAAAGTGCACTACTTCATCAGTTATATCCATCTTAGAAATCATAAATTAAACCTGCCTAGTAATGACTTTAGACTATAGTGTAAGAGCATGAATATAAAGAACTAATTCATAAAATATGATATTGGTGTAGAGGTCCATTCAATGGAGTCAGGGTATAAATACCTCGATGACTGAAACTAACCCCTACCTGAAATAAGAAGAGATCACATGCGATAGCCCTCTTCCTGGCATGAGTTAGTCATAGCTACTCACTGTCGCCACCTCCCAAGCTCAATTCAACAGAATCAGGACTATATTCCTGCAAGAGAAGTTTCCTTTTTTGTTATAGAATAGTGTAATATTGAAAGGATCATAAATACACCTCAATATTTTTATTCTACTTTTGCAAGACATATCCAGTTTCAGGTCAATCAGACACACACATCAAATGCTTTAGTTTTAGCAACTCTATCAATGGAAGTAATTAAGAAAGCCTTCTTAAGTAGTTTCTCTTAATCGAACTGAAGTTCTACATATTAGCATTACATAGTCTGATGGCATGTATAGGAAAATGAAGCAGTACAGTTAAGAGAAAATAAGAGACATGGTAAGCAATAGAACACATTAGCTATATTTATTCACATTTTCCCTTTCCCAAATTTAACTGAGTAAAAGACCATACTTCACCATAACCCTCGATCGTCTCTTTCTTCCTAAGACTATTGTTTAGTAAATTATGCAGTAAACTGCATTGCCATCCAACCATGAATGAGTGCCTTCCAACAATAGTGAACCAATTAAACTCTAACTACTCAGTACATTCACATTATCAATTGAAGTTATTAGTTTAATTAAAGTTATTAGTTTAATTCAAGTACCTGCAAATACAGGGTATCATGGTCTTGCAACATCCAGAACCAGAAGGCCATGGTGCAAGTTGTGGGGTCAAGGAATATCTCTCTTCTCCTTGTTGCCAACTTATGTAAATATCATCTAGAGCCAGCTTTAATCTCGTTCACTAAGTGGTAATCGATTCCTAAACCAACAACAACGCCAATGAGGCAGAGCTGGTCGTGATTTCCGTGCGGGTAAATAACTGGAATTGAATTCATCAAAGAGACAAAGAGAGTCAAAATAGCTAGGAGTTTATGAACCCTAGCAAATTGCTAAAATTAGCAATCAGGAACTTCATCAAAACAAAAGTGATCGGAATTAGGTAACCAGAGCGTAGAGCGGGAGCGGGAGCGAGAGCGTTGGAACGTGAGTTATTGAAGAATTCAATATTGAAAGTGTGAATAGAGCGTCAATATTATATTATTTTTCATAAAAAATATTATATTTTCAAATTATTAACTAAAATATAGGCAATATTATTACAACTTACTCTTAGAAATTATTGACAAATATATATTACTTGTTTTATTATCAATTAAAATTTGTGGAGAACATATACCAATACAATTAATGTATATCTACTTAAATTTACGAATAAAAAAGTTAAAAACTCATACACTTATACAATTATTATTAACATTATTCGGTCAGAGATCGCGCTCCCAAATACCAAAATCGCGCTCTCGCTAAAACTAATTCGCGAATCTTTGACGAACTCCCAAAAATCCGCGTTTTGGCGTTTTGGAGCGGGTACGTGGAGGGTGGGGTGGCGAATTGGGTGACCTAAATCGGAATACACAAATGGAGGATACAATGAATTAGGAGTGGGTCAAGAAATGGAGTAGATTCGAGAAGGAAGATGGAACCAGAGAGTGACCTTGAGAACTGGTGATGCAAAGCGGGCGATGGATTTTATGGAAGACATATGGAAATTCGGCGGTGGCGGTGGTAGAGATACCGTCGATGCAGTTTACAACGCGATTGAAGGAAAGAATCGCCGAACATACCCAGCTTCAATCCCTACCTGGACACTATCGCTAGTGTGCGATTCCCCGACTGAGAAAGTGAGAAGGAATCGCTGCAGCTGAAATGCAACCAACACCGTCAGACAGCAGCCATGAAGAAGCATCACCGTCCGGGCCCAGTCGAAACACCTCGCCCAGGTAATGTAGGCTCTTGGTGTTGTGAGGATGGACCAAGTGAAGAGAAGAGTTTCTGATCTTTGAAAACCGCTGGACAGTTTAGCATAACTCAAACTGCTGTGATATTTTGTTTGTGGGCCGAGGCCCGTTCAATAGTCGAGGCTCAGGGCGGGATTTACTCCCCCGGGATAGAAAGAGAAATGATTTTTTTGCCAAATATACCCCTCCGAAAAACGCTCCGGAGGCAGCAATTTTGAAATGGGGGTTCAGTTTTAGGCTTCAGCGTATTATATATAGAGTAGAGATAGATTGATTTAAATTTAAGTATGAACGGTAAACTCGCATTCCTGAACTCAGATTTATTCAGTAAAAAAAGGTTTCTGTCTCCATTCGGACTTAAGCCCAATAACTTTGCTTCCTTTCTACATGCGGCCCAAAATCCGTACTAATTTCATCTTTTTAATCTTTTTGGAGGCCCATCTCTCTCTCATCACTAAACTGCGACACGTGGCCGTGCGTCACTCTCTCTCTCCTCCACTCCGTCTCTCCCTTCTGTCCCCCACTTTCACTGTCTACTAAAAATTTCCGTGACTCAATAAAAGCAAAAGGTAAAAGAAGAAAAGAAATGAAGAGCATCTTCTCGGCATCACAGCTCCTCTCACGATCAGCGGTTCTCTTCATCACAAATCGCTCCCCTGCTTCCCCGCCGAGACGCGTCTCACTCCGGCTCTCCCTCTCCTGCAAATCCGCCGCTCTTTCCAACACCCGAAGCTTCGCGGCCATGGCGGCGTCGGCTGCCGACGAATTCGTCAAGGGGAACATTCATCCCAACGGCGTCGCTGTCATCACTCTCGACCGTCCCAAAGCTCTCAACGCCATGAACCTAGGTAATCCGATTTCTTCTCTCACTCTCTGTCATCTCTTTCGCTCACGTTGAACTACTTGTTTTCTGATCACGAATTGACTGGACAGTGAAGAGTCGAATTGATCCAGTTTTGATGTCGATGAGCTTGCTTAGGTCGAGTTTTAATTGTGTAGCTCTGTCCTCGTACAGATATGGACATTAGATACAAGAGTTTCCTTGATGAATGGGAGGCGGATCCGAACGTGAAGTGCGTGCTAGTGGAAGGCAGCACTCCTCGCGCTTTCTGTGCAGGTAAATGATAGGGGATTGATTGTACAGTGTGGTTAAACTCTACTTCGTTCGATCCATGTCTATACCGAAAGCGGCATTTGTCTAGACTCGTTGTGATTGTGAATTTATGCAGGGTATTAGTGAATTTGAGAATCTGAGTTACAGTTCAGTTCAGTCTCGTAATCTCATTTTCTTGTATGTTGGGGGATGATTTTGAGGGTGGCAATGTATGATAACTGCAGGAATGGATATTAAAGGGGTTGTTGCTGAAATTCGCCAGGACAAAAATACGCCTCTTGTGCAGAAGGTGCTTTATGCACTTTAGAGCTACCATTTCTTTCTGTTTCATTTCTGTTTGCGTGGTTGTGTTGTGAGCTATTACGAGCTTCGTTTTGTTTCTGATTGTGTTGCCTTTTTCTGGTTTTGTTGTTGGTTCATGGTTTTTAGCATTCGTTTTAGTGGATTCAAGTACAAAGATAGTAGTTTATTTGCAGGTGGTGATGTGAAGACTATTACAACAAAAAAACAACTCTCCAACGTGATTGAGGTCTTGTTGTGTTCTTCCTGTTACTTTAAATTAAGGCTTGGCTAGATTTGGCTGTCTCGCCAATTGTGGAGTATGACACTTATGTCTCACTAATTCTGATTCATCTGGTCAATCTTTTCAATAATGTAGAGGATTTTGTTGGCACCAGTTAGTCTTGTCATGAATGAATAATGTGTGAAAACCATTTGCCAGACCCGACGCATCTGGTCAAGTATTATGGATCTATCTGTATTCCAACTTTTGAATAAACTGTGGATTTGTTTACTTGTAAACTTTCAGTTTTTGCTGTCATGGCTGCACATGCTTCAATTGCATTTTCTTTCAGGTGTTCACTGCAGAATACTCTTTGATATGCAAAATCGCTGCATATAAGAAACCATATATAGCTCTTATGGATGGGATAACAATGGGGTTTGGACTAGGTCTATCTGGCCATGGTCGCTACCGAATTATAACAGAGGTACTATTTCCCTTTAAGAAATAGGCCACTGGTATTATGACATTGAGAATGATTTCTGACTCCTTTTCTGATATTCTGAATTCACAGAAGACGCTTCTAGCTATGCCGGAAAATGGAATTGGCCTGTTTCCTGATGTAGGGTTTTCATACATAGCAGCACAAAGCCCAGGAGAAGGATCAGTTGGTATGGTTCCTTTTTGTGTTGTTCCATCCCCCTTTGTTTTCAACCATATCACTAGATTTGACCGGTATCTGATTATTCCAGGAGCTTATCTTGGATTGACTGGGAAGAGGATTTCTACTCCCTCCGATGCACTATTTGTAGGCCTCGGGACACACTATGTCCCATCTGGAAACTTAGGATCATTGAAGGACGAGCTTTTTGCTGCTAACTTGTACGTTGCATACTATCCTGCTTGGCTTACTATGTAACCACATTAATGAGTTTTCTTTTGATTTTCCAGTCATACTCATATTCAAGACAGTTGAGTCTTTACAATTGTAGTGCTTGGAGAATCAGCTCATCTTATGCAAAATGCTTGGCTCTGGTTATACTTGTGTTGTGCTCTCCATATCAGTGTCTTGTATTGAAAAGCTTGTGCATGTGGTTTATGTAGTTCCCAAGATCCACATCATGATGTCAAAGGACTTATAGGGAAGTACAAGCATGACCCTGAGCCAGAGGCCCCATTAAAGTTACTCTTGCCTCGAATCATCTCTACATTTGGTGGACATAAGTCGTTAAAGGAGATTATTGAGGAGCTGAAACAGCATAAACAGAGTGCCGATACTAAAGGTTACCTTGTTCATCCTTGTGTCCCGATAAATGTCTGTGTTTTCCTCTTCTGATGCAAGTTTTTTTTAGACTGATTTCAACATTGCTTCTGTCAGTGGCAGAGTGGGCCGCCGAAGCTCTTCAGGGTCTTGAAAAGGGTGCTCCATTTTCTCTTTGCCTGACACAAAGCTACTTCTCCAAAGTTGCATCTGCCTATGGAAGAACCTCCAACGAATTATCAACAGTGAGCTCCTCTTCTCCTTGTTTGACCCGCTGAATTGAGCTTGGTAATGTTGTACGGCTGCAACACTCTGATATCTTTGATCTCATGGATCCAGCTAACTGGAGTAATGAGAACCGAGTATCGCATTGCCTTGAGGTCTTCTCTGCGCAATGATTTCGCTGAAGGTGTCAGAGCAGTATTGGTGGACAAAGATCAGGTTAGTATGCCACATTGCTTGTGATATTTGAGTTAATATTATCCGGTTTCTTGCCCTTGCATCTTTAAAACCACTGTAATATACCTACTCATCAGTTGCGAATGGGTCCGAACTTGATTGCAGAACCCCAAATGGGAGCCACTGAGCCTGGAAGAAGTTGATCATAATGAAGTGGAATCTCTGTTTAAGCCATTGGGTTCAGAAACTCCGGAGCTGGAAGTGTAAGTCCTTGCCAACAAAGCATAGTGATGTTCACTCCCGACTATTCGGGCATCAGTGTCAGGTGTACTTGCGTTCTGAAGGACAGTACAATGTGACATCCATCTGTTGTAATAAATCCTCCACGCTTTATCCACCTTCTAGCATTGTGCTTATGATATGCCCATGTTTCGTCTAACATCGAACGAGTGTGAACTCGTCGCATTACTTCTTTTGGTGCTTTCTATGTTTTCCTCGCGTCGAAATCCAGCTTTCGATCCCTTTAACAAGAGCTGGTAAATCCGCACGAGCAGGCTTCGTATCTAAGTGGGCACTATGGTTAAACACAAGGTATTTGGATTTTTGTTCCATGAACAAAATGTACATGAATTAACAAGCCAAACCAGTTTAACGTTGGTTCTGCGAAACCAGTGAAAGCCAAACACTCTTAACAGTCTACACTAACATGAGAAACTTATCAAACAACACTCATAAACCGAAGCCATAAATTCAGAAGACGCTTCGTTATGGTTATCTTCAACCTGGGTTCATTTCCCTGCGTTCATGTGAGGAGACTTCCTTCTGATGGCTAGTTTAGCAAGTCTGCAACAACCTGAGTTCATTTCCTACATGAGATTCTATTGCAGCAAGAGACCCATACCAAATAGCACATTGTCGACCGAAATGCAGAACCTTTCAGTACAGGTGAAACTAGATGTTCTTCAGGAGTGTACGTAGACGAACTAGACCTCCTCTACGAGCAATGATCACCACTCCTCAAACTCCGAAACAGATCCAAGTACCCCTGGCTTACGTAACAATTGACACCATCACTCATGAAGCACATTCATGGAAAAATCCAAAACTACCATTGTTTTTAAAAAAAATTACAAAAATACCACCCATTTTCAAGAATTTCCAAAAATACCACCCTTCCCCATAAAAGGCGCGGTTCTCAGTCAAACCGCGCGGGCAATGAGCGGTTTGCCTTTGGGCATCTGACAAAACGCGCTTCCACGTGACGATCCATGCAACCGCAGGATGGGGAGACGATCTGACGGCCTAACCGCCTGCCAGCGGAGCGATCCGCGTCGCCCATGGGAAACCGTTGCCCAGAAGCGCGGTTTGCGCGTTGGGAAACGTAAACCGCGTGCGGGAAGCGCGGTTTTGCATGGGGTAAAAAGACCAAACCGCCCCTCCAGCACGCGGTTTCGTCCCTATATAAACCCATCCCTTCCTCCCATTTTCTGCACACCAA